CCAAAGGGAACCGATAGGGCTGGGTAAAAAATAACGATATCTCGATATTAATTGATTCTCATTTTTACGGAACGATATCGATTCTTAAATCCCAAGAATCCATTATTCTAGCCTGTTTTCAGTGAATGGATGGAACATTGAAGCACACCTCCCATCCAATAAATCACAATAAGCATTGTGCTTTGGTACTTTTAATATGAAACAAAGTCTTAGATTTCATATTCTGTCCATTGTATTGCAGTATTTAAACAATAAATGCCGTTTTGGCGCTGTTTAATGTGAAGTGACAGATCGCTGTAGCGCCTCAGTTCAACAGACGCAGCAGTGCGTAGCGTACGTGAACTGATCATCTCCTCCACATTAATACCAGTTTCAGCACAAAATAAACATGACTAAACATCCGAAGGTAAGTTAAAAGAAAGAGTACAACTTTACAATCCGTATCCTGTCTCAAGTAATCGCTCAATCAGTGTTTCAGCCGCGCAAAGACGTCAATATAACGGCTTGTAAACGTCACATTTACCACAGAAAAAACATTCGGTGACCATAAATTCATTAGACAGACAGAAAAATAAACTGTAAAGAGGGGCATTTTGCTTAATATATGCACCATATAACATATTCATTATATTTTTTAATGTTCTTCAATGTTTAATTTATGTTTGAATGAATCCATCAAGTTTTTATGACAGCCACCATTTAAATGTTTATATTTCAAAAAAACTAATTGAAGTAAAAATATTATATAACTGTAACTTTATTATTGTAAACTTCATTAATTTTAACCTTCAATATTATAGCAATGTCTCTAGTAATGCCTCAACTACTCTCATGTATATTTTACAGCATTAGTTGAGATTTTGTTTTTCCTTGAGAAAATTTGGCATGTACTGTACCTGATATATATCCAAAATAATCGATATTGAATCAAATCGAATCGAATTGGTAATCGAATCGAATCGCACGCTTGTGAATAAGAATCGAATCGAATCGTGAAATTTGCGTCAAAACCCAGCCCTAGTAACAACATAGCATGCATTACAGTACAGAATACTATTAAATATTTTCCGCCTCATTCTATGAAAAGAAGCCACATCAGATAACAAAAGCAAGTAATTTCAAACACTCGACTGATGTTATGAAGTGAGTCTGGAGTAAAAATATGTTACTTAATGTGTATTTACTTGGACAACAGGTTTATTAATGTTTCTCATTATACTGCGGTGTAATGAGCATCCAGAATTATTATTTTTTTTTACATCTTTTTTTTTTTTTTAAGAACTATCCCCTTAAAATAATTAAGCAGCTAGGTGGGAACACCAACACACATCCCAAGTTGGGGACATGTAACCAAACACCAAACCACACCCGTTTTCCTGGCAGTGTGATGCTACTTTGGCATTCAGACTGGAGGGGCAGCAATGTTAAATATCATCTCCTGCAGAGCAGTCAGCATCATGTCAACATGCGGGGAAAGAAAATACATTAATGTCACCAGCGCTATTTACATAACCTTCAGCTAGTGTTAATTTCGTTAATGAAAACTATGACGACAAATGTTAGTTATTGAGCTTTTTTCCCATGACTAAGACGAGACGAAGACGAAATCATATTTATGTTAAATTCATACATTTTCTGCCCGGTGTGTTTTGCTTATTTTAAGCAATCTGGCAACCATGCGCACACGCTCGCTCCTCATTGCGGATGCGCTGCAGCAGATAATCTGAAAAACAAACAAGCTGGAGTTTAGCAATCTAAATGAAAGCGTCATTCAGCCGGTCAGTGTTCTGTCATGAGATCTCACTATATTTTTTGCGATTGTGATCGTTGAATAAATACACTTACTCAATCGCTGTTGTTTTGATAGAGAAGTAGACTTTTGCAATTATGGAATTAGTTGAATTACTAGGAATTTCACTGTTATAATATTTTTCGTTTGTTTTAGCTGTTTTCATAATGTAGACAGAGAGATTGCATAAGTCTTTGGTGTTGATTTATATATTAAAAAGCCTATAATAAATCAGTACACTAAATGAGGTAAAATACACTATGTGTGTGTCCACAATCTATTGATTTGTGCTTACTGGAGAAAGTGCAATACCTGAAATGCAAAAGTAAATTTCTCAATTATAATTATAATTACAAATATTATTCTCAATTATAATTTTGAGAAAAAAAATATTTTTATCAGTTTAACCATTAAACAGAATGACGAAAATGTGACTAATATTTCATTTACTAAAAAACCTGACTAAAATGCTCATACATTTCATTGAATAAACAAAAACATGACAAGTGTGTCTAAATATGATAACTAAAATGTACATTTGAGTAAGACTAAGACTAAATTAAAAATAGCAGCCAAAATTAATCCTGCTGTACGGTTAATTAATAATAATCTTATTGCTAAAATGTCAAGTTTTCATTGACTTAAACTAGACTAAAATACTTCAGGTTTTCTTCGACTAAAACTAGACTAAAATACTTTAGATTTTCTTGGACTAAAACTAGACTAAAATGTTGAGACTTTTAGTCGACTAAAACTAAATAGGATAAGGTTGACTAAATATGATAAAAACTAACAAGGACATTTTAGCCCGGGACTAAGACTAAGACTAAAATGAAAATAGCTGACAAAATTAACACTACCTTCAGCAGAGCCGCTTCGCATCGGAGCGGTAAAAACAGAAACCACATGTTTTAATTAATCGTCAACTAAACGAGACAGCAATAAACAGGGTTTGTTGCGGAGGTGCTTTCGTAGGTGCAGGAGGTGAGTAGATGAGGGAGAAGTGGAGGAGGAGAGCAGCGCTGGTTAATTACCCAACCATACCCGGGTAAGTTTGTTGGTTTGTTCGGCGTTTGAATGACAGAGGAGATGACAGAGGCAGGCTCAGGAGAGGCGGCGATCGCATCGGCTGCTTAATAATTGATCTACGAAAGCAAGAGCTTGTTTTGTGGCGATGAGAACACATTGCCTCATCTGATCCCTGAGCTGCTGGAATCAGAGGGATTGTTTTTGTAATATGCCACCGAATAATCAGATCAATGCTCTTTTACAGAGCACAAACATCTCACAACCGAGCCTTACCACAGTGAATTAACAGCTTCACACTTGTACACACAACACATGCAAAACCACACACGTTCCCTTTGCTAAATCAGCTGGAACTAAATTTACAATTTGCACTGCTCAATATGGCGCCAGATAGATTAGACAACATTTTCATCATCATTGAAAGCCCAGACCTACATTAAATGGGTTCTTTTTTTTACTCTATCTCTCCTTCTGTCTCCCTTTTCTTTTTGGTTTGCCTTCCAAACCGTAATGAAGTTAGTTTAAACAGCTATATTCATTTCCTTAATGAGGGGAAGGTCCTTTAATGCTTTACTCCAGTGAGACAGAGGCTGTGTGGGCGCTAATAAACACAACTCACAAAAACAACATCTCTTAACAGAGTATCTGAGGCCTTCGTGGATTTTTTTTGTTAGCATTTAATTATACTTCAGCATTATGACTGACATTATAAGTGCTCTCTCTGGGAGGATGTAATTGAAAGTAATTTTACATTAATGCTAAGTCTGAAGTGCTCTCGTGAATAAAAAAACATCCAGTGCGATGTTTTGGACGTTAATGTCATTGGCGATACAACATGGTGTTTCGAAATCTTTTGGTAACAATGTAACTGCTTTAAAGAGCCAAAGACTATTTGAAATGTTCCAATACCATTGCTAAACTGCTACATCTACTGCTTTCTGAAATAAATATTGAGTAATTCTATAATAGCAATAAAGCTAAAGCTAACGTGAGTAACTTTTTCAATGTAAAAGGGATAGTTCACACAAAAATTATAATTCTGTCAATTTACTCAACCCCATGTTGTTCCAATCCTGGGACCAAAACAACATTAGATTTTTAAAATGATCTTCTTTTGTTTTCCCTGGAAGAATTTTAATTTTTTTGGTGAACTATTGACTTTAAAATACTTTCTAAATTACATTTTACTGTTAAGAAACAATTACAGTAAGGTCAAAAAGAGTTTATATCTGTGCACCAGAATATAAATATATATATATATATATATATATAATTATTATTATTACAAATTATACTATTAGAATAACAAAATGGCTTAAAAATTAACATGAATTTCAGACTGTCTTACTATTTGCTCCTCATTTATGACAGCAGCCTTCAAGTTGCATGAACTCCACAGGTGTATATAAAACCTGATGATCATGTGATCAAACATGTTTTTAAACTGATCCAAAGAGCATCTTGTAGTTCAATAAAAAAGCATGAAACATCTGACCATCTGTACAAAGAGTCACATGATAAATCACTAATTTGCTTATTCAATCATTTTAAATCTGAAAAACTTCCTTAAAAAATCTTTAACCTAATGTCATTTTAAATCTGGAAAATGTCCTAATTTTTCTTTTCTTTTTTTTTTAATTCTAGATTGTGCGTGTGGCCTGAAATCTGTACAGTTTAGACAATCAGTGTCACTTTTTTTCCCCAATCAATTAACCTAATGTAAAACCTAAAATAATAATAATAAAAAAAAAAAAAACTTTCTAGATTCTAATGTGGCCCCAGATTTTTGAATCCTGCTGTAAGCCAGCTGCAGGATGATTTACCTGAAATGTGCACTCAGTAGATATATTTAAACAGAGAGTGACCTCTATGAGTCAGACATAGTCTGTTTCACTGCAGCTTCCTCCACAGTGTTATTCCACCGCAAACCATTAATGTTTTCTACTAGCCTTTGTTTACAACATCAACATAAAACAAGCAGCATTCACATGCTCATTCTCCTTTTCCAGTGTGTTAATTCTGGGAGTTACAGTCCGCCTTAAGGCAGCAAATCTGGTGTGAAACCCCATCACTTTAATTAACAGTGATTACAAATTACACCATTCAGCGTGAGGACTAACAAGCAATACAGGCCATAGATAGTGATGTGCTCTAGAGCTTGAAAATGGCAGACATTACTCACCTATTCTGAATGAGAGTGGGCCACTGGTGGCGTTTCTCACCCACATGGCTAAGAAGAGCAGAGGCGCCCAGGCTCCGAGCATCTTCTTTGACTCCTCATGGGTCCAGCCCTGGGGGTCCCCCTTCACACAGCCACCTGCCACACCAAACACAACAGCAACACTTCAGAAGAATATAAAACACGCTTTTCAATCAAAGGAATTATATGCGCATATGGTACAACAGTTTGTTGGTGCCAATTTTTAATTTTTTATTTCACTGTGGTAAGCACTGTTAAACTTGTTTGGCTCTTAAGAACTTTATAATTGGGTGTTTCCTCAAATAACTTTGAAATAAACTTTATTAAAACATATTTTTACACTTTCACTATGTTTGTCAATTAAAATGTTCAAAAGTGTAGAAAGAATACATTACAGCAGAACTTTGTCATAATTATGTTTTCTGAAAATAATAAACATTCCCACCATAGTGTCATTTCTACCATATCTCAACTGATTTATCGTGCTTAAAATCAGCCTGTGGTGGACATGACTGTTCTGGAAATGACATTTTTGGATTAAATAATGCTTCCATTTATTTATTTATTTAAAAATGTCTTTTATGTATTAGACAGGGTGGCTAATTTTCATCCCAGGGCAGGCTGAAATAAATAAATAAATAATCACGTTTTTACCAAAATTTACCTTGATTTTTCTTAGTTTTCTTCATAAATCATGTCTCTTATTTTGTCTCAAACATGACCTCCACTTATACAGTTGTTTCCTTGCTAAAAATGTAACCTTTGAAAAAAAAAAAAAACCTTGCTACATTTTCAGTGTGGTGGAAATGACACCACAAATCAAAGACAGACATGATTTTGAATTATTGAATTATGATGATTATGATGAATTATTTTCTGATTATTTCATTATTTGTGCATATTATCTCAGTTTTATCTAACAGTTGTAATAATTCGTATTTTCAGTCTGAGCCTGGGACAAGTGTAAAACAATAAAATCTATACAAAAAGGCATTCTAGCAAGTAACAGGAAGTAAAACAAATGAAGCATAGAGAAATATTTACAAAATGGTAATAATGTGACCTTCACATAACAATAAATAAATAAATAAATAAAAATAAATCTATTAGTTGAAAAAAAAAGAAAAAAAGGCAAACCCTGTGACATAAAAGTATTTGAAGTTAAAGAAACAGCCAATCATATAAATAATAAACTGTTCTGGAAACTATAAAAGTTTTCTTCACCTAAATAGAATGTGCCTAGAAAATAGCTCATGCTACTGTATCATGTTTGTTAAACTCACAGCTGCTTATTACAACAGTAGAGACAGACAAAGTAACAAGTAACTGAGTATCTCAGTGTCTAACTGCAATTATGATTCATGTTGCTACAAACATGTTTCATATCAGCTGCATTATCCAGAAGAAAAACATAAATCACATATACTGATTTTACTTAATGACACATCTAACACTGGCGATTATGTGACACAGCAGACGTTGCAAAACTGTTTGTTTTTTTGTTTTCTTTAAGTAGAAATGATAAATATGAAATCCTTACAAACTATGTCTGTTGCATTTGCTTCGAAGAATATGCAGAGGCATAACTGTACATCACTTGCTCACCAATGCTTTCTTGTCACGTTAATTGATGGGACTGGAGTTGTGTGAATTACTTGTGGATTATAATGATGTTTTTATCAGCTGTTTGAACTCTCATTCTGACGGCACCCATTCACTGCAGAGATGTAATGCTACATTTCTCCAAATCTGTTCTGATAAAGAAACAAACTCACCTACATTTTGTATGTGATTTTGAGTTCCACAGAATCCATTTTAACCAATCTCTAAAATTGCTTAAACAGCACTGTGTTATTCTTTTCAGCACATTCATTTTTTATGCCTTATTCACAGAAGTTAGTACTCTTTAATCGATAAAAGAATGTATTAATACCACTGAGAAACCCATCCTGGAAATACAGGAAGCGTTTTAATATGAACTGAGGCAGGAAATGTATCTGGCTAAAGGCTCTGTTTAGGAGCTGACAGGCAATTAAAAATACAGTGGAAACCCTGCAAACACCACAGAGCATTCAATGTAGTCTTTTGACTATGAACAGAAGGATGAAAATAGAATGTGTTCCGTTTCTTACTCGTTTATGAAAATGTCATCATTCTCAAAGTGAATCGTGCGAATCAGACCCGCTGTGTCTTCAATTCAAACCGCTACCCGTTTCTGCCCAGACAAGCCATGCAGAGTTTTTTTTTTCTCTCTCTCTTTAAACAAACATTGTTCAGAGAAAACCTGTTAAAGGTGAAATGGTTGGGAATTTTGGGCGACATGGAAGCTGTTGTTGTTGTTTTGTTTTTTTACACAAATGAAAACTGTGGTTGTCTTTATATCTTAGGTCATATATCTACACTCTAAAAACGGATTTTGAAGTTGTGAATAAAACAAATATTATTGGAGAATGTTTTACAAGAAAATATGGTAACACTTTAGTTTAGGGACCAATTCTCACTTTTAACTAGTAGCTTGTTACTGTATGCATATTACTAGCATATTGGCTGTTTATTAGTATTTATAAAGCACATATTAATGCTTTATTCTGCATAACTGTTATTCTATTTCAGTCTCTCTTTGTCAAAATTTCTAAAAATTAATGTTTAATTCAGTGCATTATTTGCCATTTCTTTGTAACTATTGGTGAAAATTACTAGCAATTTCTGAGTGAAAACTATTTCTACACCATTTTTTTTCAGTGGACTGTAATATTTTGGTCCACTGGATTCTCAGTGGACTTTTTTTTTTTTTTCAATGTTTTGTCAGCTGATCGATCAAAATCAACAACTGATTTACTTAAAGGGATGGCTGACCCTGGAAACTGTCTTCAATCAAGACTTTTTTTCTTATATGGAAAAAAAAATGTTTTTTGTTCATACAACATTGGGCCCCATTGACTTCAAATTGACCCAAAAAAATCTCCAAAATATCTTCTTAAAAAAATAATGTTTTCTTCTACAAAGGAGAATGATACAGGTTTTGAATGACATGAACATAAGAAAATATATAAAATTGTATTATTATTATTATTATTGGTTAGCTATCCCATTAAAAATCTGCATTATGCCACACATATTCAAATGAAAATTGAACTGGACTACATATTGTCATTACACTATATACTGATGCTTAGATAATAATAATGTGATATTATGTCTCCTAGATACTATATTAGGGTTTTTGTGGAAAACAGCACACACACAATCTTAAATAGCTATGCCCTCCTGAAGTAAATGTGACCCTGGAGCACAAAACCAGTCTTAAGTCGCTGGGGTATATTTGTAGCAATAACCAAAAATACATTGTATGGGTCAAAATTATTCATTTTTATTTTATACCAAAAATCATTAGAATATTAAGTAAAGATCATGTTCCATGAAGATATTTTGTAAATTTCCTACTGTAAATATATTAAAACTTAATTTTTGATTAGTAATATGCATTGCTAAGAACTTCATTTGGACAACTTTAAAGGCGATTTTCTCAGTATTTTGATTTTTTTGCACCCTCAGATTTCTGATTTTCAAATAGTTGTATCTCGGCCAAATATTGTCATATCCTAACAAACCATACATCAATAGAAAGCTTATTTATTCAGCTTTCAGATGATGTATAAATCTCAATTTCCAAAAATTTACCCTTATGACTGGTTTTGTGGTCCAGGGTCTTTTGAATGTTGGAAACCGTTAACTATCGTTATGATACCTGACAAATGTATATTATAAATGACATTCAAAGAAAGCCAATGCACAGTGTCCACTTAAACCCTCCTTTTCCCCTGTGAATTACTGTGTGTGTGGGGCTGAGTCATTTGAGGGGAGGGTTGAATCAGTAATGGGATACCACAGAAATAGCACGTAGGTTGTTTTTGTAAGACAAGTGCTCACTGTAGGGAGTAAAACAAAGGCGAAATCACCATGTGTTGTTCTGAACGCACTCGGCTGCTGTCGTGTGGTGAAACAGAGCTTGTTTTTGACCGGCCAACGCAACAATACCATCCGATAGGGAAGAACTCCACGAGGCTTACTATTGAAAATCTCACTACTAAAGCCAAGTGACTGATTCCAGACAAATGTGGAGCAATTCAGTCCAAACTTTAATTAGCCCTGGCTCAGTCCCCACAATGCCACCCTTTTGTAAAAGGCATCAAATTAAGTTCTAGCAATGGAGGAGTTCTTTTCAATTAAAGCTAGATAAAGGCTGCTAGACCACGAGCACCGCAAACAAGTCAAACCTGTCACTCATAACCGTAGCTTCATCGCATATTCTCTCCAAATACCTCTAAGTGTCCATCAAAGCTCTCATCTCAAAAACAACAGGCGGAATTAATTGTTACGGCATTTTTACGCTGCACTCACAGTTGACATCCACTGCCAATCAAAAGCAAGTCGGGGAAGAGGTTTCCTCTTCTAGATGTCAATGAGAAGACTGAACCGCAGTTCACAATGCTTTGTGAATATATGTAAAATGCAGAACCAGCAGCAGGGATGAGTAATAACAAAGACTATAGAATACCCAAGACATGACACTCGTATAGTTTTGAATGGGGTAAAATGCAGCGCTCAATATGGCCACTCAATCGCAGGAAGCCCCGCCTTCTGAATGAAAGAGCCAATCGCTAATCGGTAAAGTCAGCGCGTCACTGCAGCTACCTTCTGAATGAAAGAGCCAATCGCTAATTGGTAAAGTCAGCACGTCACTGCAGCTGCCGTTAGAAGTCCTGGAAAACAGTAGAAACAGAAACAGTCAACTATAGAAGCTATAGACTATAGAAACAGTCAGCGCTCTGAGACGTGCGCTCAGAACTGCGCATGTGCACTGGCTGATCTAGCCTGAAAAATAAGCTTTTTATAACGCTATTTGAGCAAAAGAAACAACATTTATGACACAGTTGTTGTCAGATTTCTTTGGTGATTTCAAATATAAAATTTAATCGTAAGCTTAGTGAACAGTTTTGGAGAATTTGATGTTTCCCCATACAAAGAGATAGGAGCTGCACTTGCATGCCCGAGAGGCATTTCAAAGATGGCCGCCGAGTGACATGACTTGTCTTAAAGAGACCTTGGTAAT